GAATTTGTGCAGAAATAAAATAAACAGTGAATGGCGAATATTGGAGATCTGAAACAAAAACAAAACAGATTTGAAAAAGAGTCACTGGACTCAAAATAATAACTCTGCTTTTCTCCCCAAAGATGCCGCCAGATCTGCTGGGTTTCTCCAGCAATTTCTGTTTTTGTCTGCAGAAATAAATGTTTTCTTTTTGTATTCCTTTGCCTGTTTGTGTAATAAATGTACATGTGTGCATGCGTGTGTGTGTGTGTGTGTGTGTGTGTGTATGTGTGTATGTATCTATATGTGTTTCAGGGTTTGAATATTTACAAGCAAAAACATTTATAACTTTAATATTGAAAACTGTATGTTAACCAATCCTTGATGTTTGTGGAATAAGTTTTACTTCAGAATAAATCATGAATTTGGGTGTTTATTAAAGAAACCTGGTTGATGGATCTTATTGTTTTCAGTCTAATATAGGAAGCATTTGATTGGCCATATTGAGAGCTGAATAAAACAATTAATTTTATGCTGTGACTAGAAATGTTATGACTAGAAAATTCAGTGCACTCTTCCCATCACAGTCATAACATTATGCTCAGTTGTAGATGTTTTGTCATTTAAATTTGATGCAATCAATAAGATTTCAACAGAAAGGAGAACAACAGTATAATTAAAACCAACTGTGCAGTAGGATGTTTGTCATTCAACGAAAATAAATTCCATTACTGGAGCCAAAGTCAAGGAATGTGGTAGCGGAGAAAGGACTATTCAATGCCCACTTGGAGAATAGTTGTATCTATATGCAAGATTCACAGATACCATTTAATTGTCTGGAAATCTGCTGTTCTCCCCAATATGTTTTCAAAGCATAGATACAGAGTGGATTCCAGCAGTTTTGCTAATTGGGCTGATAGTCAGCATTTTTGCCTTACAGGAATTAAGAAGTATTACGTAACCTAATGTGATGTAAGTCATGGCCAGTTTATGAATATGAAATGCCTTGTTTATCTTATTGGGAGTGAGTCAGTTGGTGAAGCATAAAGTAAAATAACCCAAGTAATCCAGAGAACAGCCAGGCATGTCAATGATGAGAGAGAGAAATAGAGCAGGCTCAGAAAACAAATTGCACCAGTGGTACGCTAGAACATTGATTCACATGGAATATTCTATCGCTTAGAAACTGCCAGCTAGGCAATAACTGAGTGCATTAAAATATAAAGCTGAATCAGTTTGTTACTTTTCTATAAACAAAGAACTGTAGACATCTGAAAGAAACAGAAACAGAAATTACCGGAGAAATTCAGTAGGTCTGGCAACATCTGCGAAGAGAAAAGAGAATTAACGTTTTGAGTCCAGTTACCCTTGTTCAAAAAGACCTTCTTCTTCAAAGTACTGAAGAAGGGTCACCAGACTTGAAACATTAACTCTGTTTAGAAAGCTCACTAGGATGATCCCTGGTCTGGAGGGATTGTCTTATGAGCAAACACTAAACATGTCGGGACTCTATTGTAGGGGTTCTGGTTTGCGATTAGTAATTTGCTTATTTTTATGTGGTTTGAACCATCTCCAGATCCCTGGTTCTGACCGTGAACTTATTTAGCAAATGTGAAATGAAGAAGGAAGTAAACAGGTGTTTCAGGGGCAAAAGAATCTCTGTGTTTATTAAATGCAAAAAGTGAGTATATTGCATGAAATAAAAAAAGGGCAAATACAAAACAGTGAAATTGACACTATCAATTATACAGAGGATAGTACTTAAATTCACTATTAAATTAAACATAGATTAAATACCATTAGAAGCTCAATACTAGTTTTAATCATAGACACTTCAATGAGACTTCCTAACCTTGGGGTTCCGTGGACTGTCATCACCCAGCTACCCGTCCCTGCTAGCTAGGTTGGATACTTTGGCATCTCGAGAATATAAGCTCACCAGTGGGGATAAATGCATTTTGAAATACAGCAGGCCATTCCCGCTTGCCATAGCCAGTTCTTCGATGAAGACTTTGGATGGTGTAGGCCTTCAGTCTGGGTTGTGTCCGCTGATGCGGTAGGACGCGTTTTAGATTTATCAGGTGAATAGTTGGTTTCCCTTACACTGTGGTGGTTTTGTGAGCCGGTTTTCACCTCAGGATGTGTCTGAGGCCTTGTCAGTTGGGTTGGTGGCTTTTGGAGGCCGTTGGTCATCAGATCTGCTGGTCGTGGTCAGTTGCCAATGGTTCCCCTGGTACAGAACAGGCCTGTGTTGGTAGGTTTCAGGGAGATAGCTGTGCAGATAGTTCTCGGGGAGAGTAGTTATCTGGGATCCTTCTTCTGGAGATGGCTGTGGGGATGGCTGTCAGGGTGGTAGCTCTTTCGGATCGCTCTCCTCAGGGTAGCTGCGTGGATATTTCCCGGGGCGGATCGCTCTCTTGGATCCCTCTCCTGGGGGTAGCTGTGGGGATAACTCTCTTAGGTGAAGTTGGGGCCTGCAATTATACTATTTGCGGGTCTTTTATCTCTGTGGTAAGTCTGCGCTTGCCATTGTGTTACTGCTGTTCCCTTTGAGGCAATTGGCTTCCTGATAGTTAAGAGTATGTGTGAATGTACGTTGGTTGAGGGTGAATGCCGGATATCTCTCTGAATGAATACTGATTGAAGTTGTATGTCTTGGTATCTGTATAGGTTCTATCATGTCTGGGTTGGAGTAGCCCGAAGGGTAAAACTTAGTTTCAGTCTAGAGACAGTAAGAACCGCAGATGCTGGAGTCAGAGATAACACAGTTATCACAGTGGAGCTGGAGGAGCACAGCAGGCCAGGCAGCACCAGAGGAGCAGGAAAGATGTCCCTTGGTCCCGACCCAAAATGTCAACTTTCCTGCTCCTGATATGCTGCCTGGCCTGAGGTGTTCCTCCAGCTCCACACGGTATTACCTCTTAGTTTCGGTCCAGAGTGTTGGACTGGTTAATTGTTCTTTTAGAGTTAAGGTGTGAATTGGACTTTCGGGCTGAACAATGGTTCCAAGCAGCGATCTCTGTGTAATTTTCCCAGAGCGTAGCCCAGCTGCCTTTTTTTTTAAACTTTTAAAAGTTATTTGCAAAGTCCAGGATTTTGGTCCAGTATTTCAGAATATGGGGAGTTTTGCTCAATCCGACACTATTCACTGGAGTTTAGAAGAATGAGATGTGGTCTTATTTAAACATGTAGAACTCTTACGAGGTTTGACAGGGTAAATGCTGAGGGGATGTTTCATCCCATAGGATAGTCTCAGACCAGCGGGCCTAGTTTCAGAATAAAGGGGCACCAATTTAAGACTGAGATGCAGAGGAATTTCTTCACTTAAAGGGTTGACAGTCTTTGGAACTGATTCCCACAGAGAGCTGTGGGGCAGAGTCCTTGTGTATATTTAACGCTAGGGTAGATAGATTCTTGATCAGTGGGGGAATCAAGGGTTACGGGGAAAATGCAGGAAAGTGAACATGAGGAATGTTGGATAAGCCATGATCCTATTGAATGGCAGAGCAGAATTCACGATGCCGAATGGCCTACTCCTATTCCTATTTCTTTTGATCTTAGTGCGGAAAAGCAGTATTATATTTTGTCATTTTTTAAAACCTGCTAAATCTCCCCATATATCAGTCAATGAAAAGAGTCCAGGGCTTTGGCACTGAAGCTAGATTCACAAGAACACAAGAGTTAAGAGCAGGAATAGACCAGAGAGCCCTTTGAGCCTGCTCTGCCATTCAATGCTGTTATGGTCTTGGGCTTCAGCTCCTCTTTTCATCCTGCTCCCCATATCCCTTGATTCTGCAATACCTCAGATTTGTCTACCGTGGCCTTAAACACATCAATAGTTGAGCATCCACAACATTATAGGATGGAGAATTCTAAACAATTGCTAACTTTCAGATTCCTACCTGAGCACAACCAAGTCTCTCTGAACATCAACATTTATACGCTTCATACCTCTTTAAGATATTCTGCCCTTCTAATCTTCTTACCAATGTGAGTAATCTCACACTTTCCTGTATTATACTCTCTCTGCCATCTTGCTGCCCACTCACTTAACCTGGGTCGAAATCTCCTTGCAGACTCTGTGTCCTCCTCACTATGTATCGCCAGTACAGCTAGATCCTTCAGCTTTACCTCACAATTAAACTCTGTGATGGATCAGACTTAAGGACTTTGGTTTAATCTTTCCAAGTGATTTACCCAAGCTGGAGAACAATATGAATTATATGTTTTTGCCTGACTGGTCCCTGTCCATGTCAATCCCAAAAAGTTCAGTCTGCTGTGAAATTAAAATTCAGAACAAATACTCTGTCAGAATGAAAATGAATAATTTTTGGAATGTAAGGTATTCTTTTATATAAAAACTCACACTGAGGAAATTGAGGAACTTTTTTGTTTATGGAAAATCATCTTTCTTGAAGATTACTGCAGGATATCTCCTAGTAGGGATCTTTCAACCATTCTCTATAATTGGTGGAAAACTGGCAGAAATCTTGCAAACATCATGCCAACCAATTGGTAGAATACCCAAAGAAATCCCCAGTTTATACAATGAAAATTATGTAAATAGCACCAAATGTTTTAATTCCAAGGCTGACAATAGAGAATGGAATGGCAGAGTAAAAAGGCAAAGGTAAAGTCACCATTGTCTCAGAGGACCATAGGGCTGCTCTCTCATTAGACAGAGAAGTCAGGTGGTGAGTTAACCTGAGGGTCATCATACCTTAAATAAAAGGAGAGGTTGGGAAGGAGACTCCTTTATGGTAACCTCAGCCTGGGTGGGAATTGAACCCATATTGTTGGTATCATTTTGCAACACAAACCAACTGTCCAGCCAACTGAGCTAACCAGAGGGCAGAGTATCTTTGACTATGTGTCCAGTTTTGTAACATTTGAGCTGCTGATTAATCAATTAGGAAGAATTCAGAATTCAACAAAATTCCATATCATATTTACACTTTTAAATGTAAAAGTATACTACTATTATTTAAAAGTTTGAAATCATATTGTATATTCATATTCACCTTTTTATAATGAATTGTCTGAATCATTGCTGTTTCAAAGCTGTGTGTGCCCTTCAGCTGTGTCTTCTCCCAAAGTGCTTTAAGAATTTGTACTGATTCGTCCTGGGAGGACAAAGGATTTGCTGAACAGCTCTGCAACAGACAAGAAATCACAGACATTGAACGATGATTTTGGAGGCTCACCCATTCAAAACCTTAATTCAGTTTTAGATAGATGTGCTTGATTCTTATCAAAATGATTGTAGTCAGTTTTATGCAAATAAATGGGAACATAATGTAAGTTTTTTTTTAGTAAATATTGTGCAAGGCTTGGAAAAGTTATGTCTATTACTGGCAAAAGAAAATCCTAATCAAAAAAACATATCACTGTTCATTGCCATTAGTCTGGGCAGAGTCTGTCATTTATATACCCATTTCCATAAGTAATTAGAGTCAAAATAAATGTTCAAATAAATAATTTGGAAATTTCAAACTACCACTTGAATTACTTGGCTTCTTCTAAATTTAGTCTGCAAAGAACTGAGAGTTCAAGAAACGAAAGTGAATGGAGCAGAATATGGAATAAAAAGCAGAAAGGACAGTAATGTATGTTTAAGGACAACAGTATTCAAGTCACTAATGGCAACTGTATTATATTCAAATGCTATGGATTGAAGGGAAAGGAAAAAAAATGTAAAACTTTTTTTCGAAGTTTGTCACGTTGTCACCCTAGTTTTAGACTTAAGTCATTTTGAATTGGTTGAACCAAATCGTTGGTAATGAATTAATGCTTAAACAAAAAAGGTTAGGCTTTTGCCATGTTTTGATGGGAAAGCTGCCAGTGTAATACTTCCATACGTAATTATATTCATTTTTAATGATTTACTAGCACAATCTGTTGCTTCACCTGTAGTAAATTAAAGAGTCATTGAGATCTACAGCACACGAGGAGTCCCTTTGGCCCATTGTGTTCACTCCAGTCAATACAACCACTTAACCATTCTAATTCCATTTTCCAGCACTTGGCTCATAGTCTTCAATATCTGGGTATTGCAAGTGCACAATTAAATACTTCTTAAACATTATGACGGTTTCTGCCTCCACCACCCTTAAAGGCACGGAGTTGCAGATTCCCACCACCCTTTGGGTGAAAATGACTTTCCTTACATTTTCTCTAAATCTTCTGCCCCTTACTTAAAGCTATGTCCCTTGGTCATTGATCCCTCCACTAAGGGGAAAGATTTCTTCCCTGTCTAGCCTGTTTGTGCCCCTCAAAATTTTGTACATCTCAATCATGTCCTCCCTCAATCTCCTCTGCTCAACAGAAAACAACCCCAGTCCGTCCAATCTCTCTCCATAACCGAAACTCTCCAGCTATGGTCTAACCAATCTTATACAGTTCCCGTATAACCTCCCTGCTCTTAAACTCTATGCCTTCAATAATAAAGACAAGCATACCGAGTGCTTTCTTAACTATTTTGTCCAACTTTCCTGATAACTTAAATGACCAGTGTACATGCACATTAAGGTACCTCTGATCCTCGGTACTTCCTATTATCCAACCATTCATCATGTATTCCCCTGCCTTGTTTGTCCTGCCCAAGTGCATCATCTCATATTTATCCAAATTCCATGTGCCACTGATCAGCCCATTTGACCAGCCCATCTGTATTCTCTTGTAGTCTAAGGCTATCTTTCTTATCATTTATCACCCCACAAATTTTTGTATCATCAATGAATTTACTGATCAACCCTCCTAAATTCAAGTCTAAATCATTTACATAAACTACAAACTGCAGGAGCACCAATACTGACTTTTGTGGGATCCCACTTGATACAGAATTCCAGTCAGAAAAACATCCCTTAACCATCACTCTCTGCTTCCTGTCACTCAGCCAATTGTGGATCCAGTTTGTCAAATTTCCTTGGATCCCATGAACTCCTACTTTTGCTCTGAGTCTCCCCTGTGGGATCTTACCAAAAGCCTTGCTGAAGTCCAAACAAACTATATCAAAAGCATTGCCCTCATCTACACACCTCATCACCTCTTCAAAAGTTTGAATCAAGTTGGTCAGACACGATATCCCCTTGACAGAATCATGCTTACAGTTCTCGATTAATCCCACCTTCTCCAAATGCAGATCAAGTCTGTTCTTCAGAATTGCTTCCAATCATTTCCCCATCACAAGGTTACACTGACTGGCTGAGAAATTTGTGGTTTATCTCTTTTTTTCCTTCTTAAATAACAATACCACATTGGCTGTCCTCCTGTCCTTTGACACCTCTCCTGTGGCCAGGGAAGAATTGAAAATTTTTGCAAGAGCCTCTACTACTACTTCCCTTGCCTCACTCAACAGCCTGGGATACATTTCAAATGGTCCTGGAAATTTATTTACTTTCAAGCCTGCCAGGCCACTTAGAACATCCATTAATTGTATTCCAGATCTTCTCTCTGATTTCTATACCTAAATCGTCCCTCTCACTAGTGAATAACAACTCAAAGTATTCATTTAGAACCCTACCTATATCCTCTGGCTCCATGCACAAATTACCACTGTGGACATTAATGGACATTACTCTTTCCCCCATTATCCTTTTACCCTAAATGTACCTGTAAAACAAGTTGGATGAAGCATGGTTTCATAAGAACAACAGCATTATTACATATAATGACAAAATACATTATTTAGCTGTCAAAGAGCATCTATACTAAAGATAGCCTTCTGCTTCAAGGCACAAGGACTAGTTGCCATTTGTAGCAATGACTTTAGGTCCATGGAGAGATAAGTGTGTAGATTGACTTCTAAATTCCTGGGTCTGAGTCAGAAGAGAATGGAGTCACATGAAGTAAATGCCAAGTTGAATAATACATTGCAGAAGTACTGTGTAATATATCAGTTCAGTGCTGTCTTCTTACTAAAATGCCCACAAGGTCTTAACATAAAATGGTGTCTGAGTAAATGGAAGTATAGGTCAAATCAAATGTAATGTGTGAGAACATCTTGTATTCTGGTCCTCAAGTTGCAGTTGAGAGATTAGGATGATGAAATGACAGTCCTTCTCTTGTTTACAAACTGTGATAGTTAAAGTTATTTTCTCATGTTACTGGTTTCATACATATGCACTGATGTGCCAAGATGTTTTCTGTAAGTGGTACAATTTCTATCAACACACAATTGGCTGCCTTTCTCTTCCTTAAATAGTGTAACAGATTTTCAAATAGATTATTTAACGTGAGAAGTTAGTCTGGAATCAGTTTGACTATAATTAATCATGTAACAAATACAAGGCGGCATGATGGTCAGAAAAAGTGCACACAAATTTCATTTCTAATGCATAATTAGTGAATTTCCCATTGTACTGTTCATCATAAGCAAGAAACAATTGTGTTTTATAAGGGCAGGAATATTATAGCATCAAAAACTATATAGAACAGTTCTGTTAAAGTGTAAATATGTATTTATTTGGAGGCAAATAGTCCAGTAGTACTGTCCTTGGACTAATAATCCAGGCTAATGTTCTGAGAACTTGAGTTTGAATCACAGTATGGAAAATGGTGAAATTTGAAAACAGTAAAAAAAACAGGAAAAAAAACCTAATGTAATGACAATTGTTGGAAAAACCTATCTGGTTTACTCGTAACTTTTCAATCTTACCTGATTGACCCAAAGCAACGTGCTTGATTCTTAACTGCCCTCTAGGCAATTAGGGATGGTCAATTGTTTCAGATCTAACCAGTGATGTGCAGATCCCATAAGCAAATTTTTAAAAAATGTATCATTTAATCTCACAAAATTAGCAATGTTAAGTAAACATTTGTTGAGTTCCTATTTAAGACACTTGAAAGACAGCAGACATTGTGACTATGATATTTTGTGTTTCTGGAGAGTTCCTTGCAGTATAGTATGTTGACATGCTGGCACAGGTAAAAGATCATCATTTGCTAGTTATTACAGGGAGCAACATTTAAAGCAGAGAAACAGTGAGGGGGATTAACTGAATTATGCTGTGTACACAAAACAGACTACTTCAGTAAGAACACAAACAAAAACTACTTGCCTTGTTGCAATTAAGCATAAGACTGGATAAAGTTAATTACAGATGAGTTCGAATACTAAGATTACATGGAATTTAAATCATTTAACTATGACAATGTGCAGGATAAAGAAATACCACGGTTATAGGATCTGGGCCTGATAATAATAACTAACAGAAGCAGGAGTTCACATGAAAACAGATCGTGTAAGGAGTGGCATTTTCAAAAAATATCACATGACGATAAAGGACCTGCAAGTTAGAACTAGTTAATTATCAATTACAACAAAAATGAGATCTGATTAAAAGTTAAGAATATGATAGGTATGATAAACGAGCCTGAACATGTAGCTCCAGGCTAGGACAACTGGTTTAATCAGGTTTAACCAAATGAGGAAATCCAACATTTATGAAAAGCTGATATAATGTAAGAACTGAACTCCAGAGGCAAGGTCAGAGTGACTACCTTTGACATCAAGGCAGCACTTGACCAAGCATAGCCTCAATGTGTGCAAACATAACTGGAGTCAACGGGAGTCAGGAGATAAACTCTGCTTGCTGGAACCATATGCAAAGGAAGAAGGTTATGATAAATGGAGGTCAATCATCTGAGACTCGGGATATCACTGCACGTACTCTTCAGCACAGCGTCCTTTAGGCCCAACTGTCTTCGGTTGCTGCATCATTGACCCATCCTTCAATACAAGGCCAAATGACTGGTTATTTGATGATGACTGCATTATGTTCAGCACCACTCATGACTCTTTAGACACTGAAGATTTCTGTGTCAACATGTAGCAAGACCTGAACAACATCCAAGCATGGGCTTATAAGTGGGAAGTAGCATTTGTGCCACAAAAGTATTAGTGGATAACCATCACAAATAATAGAAAATCTATTCATCACCCCTTCACATTCAATGGCATTACCATTGTTGAATCCTCCACTATCAACTTCATGGGGGTCATCATCGATAAGAAGTGGACCAGCTTTCAAATGTCTGAAGCTACAAGAGCATGTCAGGAGATAGAATGCGGTGACTAACTCACCTCCAGTCTACTCAGTGCATGTCCACCATTGCAAGGCCCAGGTCGGGAGTATCACGGAATACTCTCCATTTGTCTGGATGAGTGCAGCCACAACAATACTCAAGAAACTCCACATATCCAGGATGAAGTTATATGTTTGATTGGCGCTCCATCCACTACTGGCACAGTAGCAGTAGTGTGTACCATCAGAAGATGCACTGCAGCAACTCACCAAGGCACCTTCCAAACCTGCAACGCCTATCACCTGGAAGGAAAAAGGCCAACAGGTGCATAGGAACATCGCTACCTGCTAGATTCCATCCAAGTTACACACTATCTTAATTTGGAATTTTATTCGTGTTTCTTCACTGTTGCTAGATGACAATCCTGGAACTCTCCCCCAACAGAATTGTAGGTGTTCTTCCACCCCAAGAAATACAGGTGTTCAGGAAGATTGCTCACCAGCACCTTTGACTGGGAAGTTAAGAAGGGGCAAAATTGCTAGCCAGTGACACTTATGTACCATAAACAAATTTTAAAAAAATAGTTAAAACTAATGAAAAGTAAGTATTCATTACAGCCGATGTTAGAATTGTGGCTTTTCAAATGCATATAGTTCCTTTGTTATATTATTATTTTAATTACAAAGAGCTAATAACTAATTGTTAAGTAAATATCTCAGCAACCACTGATATTCACAGCTGTACAACAGCGATGTGCTGAGTAAGAATGCATTCATCTACCAGTCACACATAGCAACAAAATGCACTTTTGACTCAAAATGCTGGAGAGTCATCAAGTATGAATACATCTAACTTATGGAAAGCTGAAAACAGATCCCTCCTGAGCATTTGTTGTCAGGAATTGAGGTATATCATGGAAATGGAGAATTGTTTTACAATCCACTCTGGATAAACTTCATACAGTCTGGGAATTGTATGTAGCGTGAGGAATTTGGGGAAAACAGAAGATGAGAAAATTACATTGGACTACCTGGAATTCGCAGCATAGAAAGAGCAGAGTGGTGTTTATCTTCCACAGGAGCCTCCTCTCATTCTCTCTGAATTTTTGAAATTTCTTTCCCCATCATGTACTGATCTACCATTCCTTAAAGGCATCTTCTTTCCCCAACCTACAACTCCAAGTATCAATGTCCCAACATTTTGGGTCAGGACCCTTGATCAGTCCTGACCTGAAACATCGACTCTCCTGCTCCTTTAACGCTGCCTGACCTGTTGTGTTCCTCCAGCTCCACACAAGTTTATTCAGCTTGGTTCCACAAGTTTTGTTTTAATATCATCTTTGCGTTTTCTTTGGTGACTCCATTTCAATATGCAAATTTAATATGCAAAAGACCAGTCAAGATGGCGGCAGGGTAAGTCGTTCCATTCGGAGCTCCACTCAGCTCACCAGTTCTCTTTCTCTTTCTTTCTGTGTCCTTCCTTTCTTCTCTCTCCCTCTGTAGTAATTCTATTCCCCCTACCCCTTTCAACTACCTACCTAAGGAGTCGGGAAGGAGCTGGGTTGCGACTGGGAACCGTGTGCAGAAGCTGAATGCACGGGTTGTGTCCTGCAGCGACGACGGATCGAGTGTGGGCCGGAGCGATGGCAGCCGATTAAGAGTGGGCAGGCAAGAGTGGGCCAGTGAGGCAGTGGCGGCAAGAGCAAGCTGGTGAGGCAGCCCAAACAGAGATGCTGGCGGAGGCGTGGCAAGGGCTGGAATGCCTACAGTGGGACTCTGGCGGAGGCACGGTGAAGGCCGGAAGGCCTGGAGCAGGACTCTGGCGGAGGCACGGCGAGGGCCGGAAGGCCTGGAGCAGGACTCTGGCGGAGGCACAGCGAGGGCCAGAATGCCTACAGCGGGACTCTGGCGGAGGCATGGCGAGGGCCGGAAGGCCTGGAGCGGGACTCTGGCGGAGGCACGGCGCGGGCCAGAATGCCTGCAGCGGGACTCTGGCGGAGGCACGGCGAGGGCTGGAAGGCCTGGAGCGGGACTATGGCAAAGGTTCAGCGAGGGCTGGAACGCCTACAGCGGGACTCTGGCGGAGGCACGGCGAGGGCCAGAAGGCCTGGAGCGGGACTGTGGCAGTCGAAAGGAAAGTTGGACTCTTTTAAGTTATCTTGCTTTTTCTTATCTTATTCTAAGTTAATGTGAATGGCGCCATGTATGTACGGTGAAGGTATACACTTTTCACTGCATTTTCCATTGAATACAGAGGAGCAGGAAAGCTGATGTTTTGGGTCTGGACCCTTCAGAAATGGGGAGGGGGGAAAGCGAGCTCAGAAATAAATAGAGGGAGGAGGGGTGGGGCTGGGGAAGGTAGGTGGGATGGTGATAGGTGAGTACAGGTAGGCAGTGGTGGGGATTGGTCAGTGAGATGGGAGGAGCAGATAGGTGGGAGAGAAGATGGACAGATCAAGGAGGCAGGGCTGAGGGGGAGGGTTGGTCATGGGATGAGGCCAGGGGTGAGGAGATTTTGAAACTATTAAAGTCCACATTGAGACCATTGGGTTGTAGGTTTCCAAGGCAGAATATGAGGTGCTGCTCCTCCAGTTTGCGGGTGGCGTCATTGTGACACTGGAGGAGGCCCAGGATGGACATGTTGCCCAGGGAGTGGGAGGCGGAGTTGAAGTGGTTCTCGACTGGAAGGTGAGACAACAAGGTGCAGGGCTGGACGAACACAGCAGGCCAAGCAGCATCACAGGAGCAGAGAGGCTGACGTTTCGGGCCTAGACCCTTAGACTGGAAGGTGTTGTCATTTGTCGTGAACAGAGCGCAGGTGCTGTACAAAGCGGTCTCTGAGCCTCCGCTTGGTCTCACTGAAGTACAGCACATTAGCAGATGTGCAGGTGAACATTTGAAGATCTGAAGTGGATGAGGGAGTTGCAGAGAGAGCGCTCCCTCCGGAAGGCAGATGGGGGTGGGCAAGGAAATATATCCTTGGTTGTGGGGTCAGATTGCGGGTGGCGGAAATGGCGGAGAAAGATGCGTTGAATCTGGAGGTTAGTGGGGTGATACATGAGGACAAGGGGGATACTGTCTTTGTTTCTTTTGTGGGAGGGGGTGTGACAGCAGAGGTGCGGGTACCGCAAGAGATCCAGTCGAGAGCATTTTCGACCACTGAAGGGGTGAAATTGCGGTCCTTGAAATAAGAGGACATCTGGGATGTTCGGGAGTGGAATGACCCATCTAGGGAGCAGATTCGGTGAAGGCAGAGGAATTGGGAGTAGGGTATCACATTCTTGCATGAAGATGATCCATCTCTGATACCTCTCTCTCCTTCCTGGACCTCTCTGTCTCCATCTCTGGTGACCGCCTCAAAACTGATATCTATTGCAAGCCCACCGACTCCCACAGCTACCTCTCACTCACCTTCCTGCATTCTCCGCCACCTGCAATTTGACCCCACAACCAAGGATATATTTCCCTCCCCACCCCTGTCTGCCTTCTGTAGGGACCACTCTCTCCACAATTCCCTCATCTGCTTCGCACTCCCCACTAGCCCCCCCACCCCCGGCACCTTTCCCTGCCACCACAGGAAGTGCTACCCCTTCCCCCCCCCCTTCCTCCTCACCTCCATCCAAGGACCCAAAAAAACAATCCACATCAGACAGATGTTCACCTGCACATCTACTAATGTGGTCTACTGCATCCGCTGCTCCCGATGTGGCCTCCTCTACATCAGGGAGACCAAGCGGAGGCTCGGTAACCACTTTGTAGAGCACCTGTGCTCGGTCACGACAAACGACAACACCTTCCAGTCGCGAACCACTTCAATTCCTCCTCCCACTCCCTGGACAACATGTTCATCCTGGGCCTCCTCCAGTAACACAACAATGCCACCCGGAAACTGGAGGAGCAGCACCTCATATTCCGCCTTGGGAGCCTACAACCCAATGGTCTCAATGTGGACTTTAATAGTTTCAAAATCTCCTCACCCCCGGCCTCATCCCATGACCAACCCACCCTCCCATCCCTGCCTCCTTGACCTGTCCGTCTTCTCTCCCACCTATCCGCTCCTCCCACCTCACTGACCAATCCCCACCACTGCCTACCTGTACTCACCTATCACCACCCACCTACCTTCCCCAGTCCCACCCCTCCTCTCTCTATTTATTTCAGAGCTCCATTCCCCCTCTCCCATTTTTGAAGAAGGGTCCCAACCCGAAACGTCAGCTTTCCTGCTCCTCTGATGCTGCCTGGCTGGCTGTGTTCCTCCAGTTCCACACTGTGTTATCTCCTATTTTGGATGTTGCACAGACTAAACCCTTCTGCTGAGGTGATTGTTCCCTCAACCCCTTCTCGGAGAGAAACTAAACTTGCTTCTAAACTAACCGTCATGTGTTCTGAAAGAAATTTAAAAAAAGCAAAAAATTGCTCAATCCGAGGTTTTTAACAAAACCAATTACTTCTATGTTTACCCTACCTGTATAAATGCAACAGTATAAATATCTTGCCATTGACACCACAGTTACCTGCTTTCTGGCGAATTACGAATCTAGTCATGCTTTGGAAGAACTCTCTGATCTTTTTTTTTTATTAAAAAGGAAAGCCCTTCATATTAGCAATCTGCACCCATCTGTCTCTATTTTGACATCAAATTCTAAAAATTGATATATAAATTATACACATTTTGTTACACTTAAAAATGGCTCTCACCTGTTGGAATAGGAACATAATGTAGATCCAGAGCTGGGGCTGTTCACTATTGAGGGTAAAACTGGATTTGCTGTATAGGCAGTAAAACCCTTTATGTGGGCAACTGAAGAGCAATTTAGCTACACATCTCCGAATGGAATCTAGGTAGAAACCATAAGATGTTGAATATGTTGGTGAGCAGAAAATCATTAGAGTGCCACAAAATAAATAAGATTCAGGGAATTATGGTATTTAGAATGCAACTGAAATGGTGGCATTGTCTTGAATTACACTGAAGGTATATAGCTTTTTTAATAATGTTACCAGGCAGCCTCATTATTTATTCTGAGGAAGGGTCACCTGACCCAAAACGTTAGCTCTATTTTTTCCTTCACAGATGCTGCCGACCTGCTGAGCTTTTCCAGCAACTTTGTTTTTGTTCCTGATTTACAGCATCCGCAGTTCTTTCGGTTTTCATTATTTATTCTTTCAATTACAGCATGATTCTGTAATATCACTGATAACTTTCTTTCTTGTACCAATTCTCGAGGGAAACTGAAAATGCTAAAAGACTAATGGTAATTTCTTCGCTGTTCAGCATTATCTTTCTGAACTGAAATTTTAAAACACTTCAAATTACCTTGAACAGTTGTCACATTTAGACTTCGGAATTAGTATTTGGTATGATCACCTGTAAGCTTGTCTTCCTATCTGTCTCATTTTTAATACTTTTCCCCAAGATATAGTTAAGCAAATTGACCAGTCTTTACTCGTTCTTTTTAATGTTTAAAATCTAAATTCATTCATTGAAACCTTTTTATCAAGATTACTAATTTTAGCTGGCATCTTGTAATTACGATAGATTTAGCCTTCGTGCCCAATTATATTGCATAATCAGAGATATTAGGAACTGCAGATGCTGGAGAATCTGAGATAACAAGGTGCAGAGCTGGATGAACACGGCAGGCCAAGCAGCATCATAGGAGCAGGAAGGCTGACGTTTCGGGCCCAGACCCTTCATCAGAAATGGGGGAGGGGAAGGGGGTTCTGAAATAAATAGGGGGAGAGGGGAAGGCGGATAGAAGATGGATAGAGGAGAAGATAGGTGGAGAGGAAACAGACAGGTCAAAGAGGCGGGGATGGAGCTAGTAAAGTTGAGTGTAGGTGGGGAAGTACGGAGGAGATAGGTCAGTCCAGGGAGGACGGATAGGTCAAGGGGGCGGGATGAGGTTAGTAGGTAGGAGATGGGGGTGCGGCTTGAGGTGGGTGGAAGAACAGGTTAGGGATGGGGACGAGCTGGGCTGGTTTTGGGATGCGGTAGGGGGAGGGGAGATTTTGAAGCTTGTGAAATCCACATTGATACCATTAGGCTGCAGGGTTCCCAAGCGGAATATGAGTTGCTGTTCCTGCAACCTTTGGGTGGCATCGTTGTGGCATTGCAGGAGGCCCAGGATGGACATGTCGTCTGAGGAATGGGAGGCGGAGTTGAAATGGTTCGCGACTGGGAGGTGCAGATGTTTATTGCGAACTGAGCGTAGGTGTTCTGCAAAGCGGTCCCCAAGCCTCCGCTTGGTTTCCCCGATGTAGAGGAGGCCACAACGGGTACAGCGGATACAGTATACCACGTTAGCAGATGTGCAGGTGAACATCTGCTTGATGTGGAAAGTCTTCTTGGGGCCTGGGATGGGGATGAGGGAGGAGGTGTGGGGGCAGGTGTAGCACTTCCTGTGGTCGCAGGGAAAAGTGCTGGGTGTGGTGGGGCTGGAGGTGAGTATGGAGCGGACAAGGGAGTCACAGAGAGAGTGGTCCCTCCGGAAAGCAGATAAGGGTGGGGAGGGAAAAATGTCTTTGGTGGTGGGGTCGGATTGCAGATGGCGGAAGTGTCGGAGGATGATGCGTTGGATCCGGAGGTTGGTGGGGTGGTACATGAGGACGAGGGGGATTCTGTTTTGGTTGTTATTGCGGGGACGGGGTGTGAGGGATGAGTTGCGGGAAATGAGGGAGATACGGTCAAGGGCGTTCTCGACCACTGAAGGGGGGAAGTTGCGGTCCTTGAAAAACGAGGACATCTGAGAGGTACACGAGTGGAATGCCTCATCCTGGGAGCAGATGCGGCGGAGGCAAAGGAATTGGGAATAGGGGATGGCATTTTTGCAGGAAGGTGGGTGGGAGGAGGTGTATTCTAGGTAGCTGTGGGAGTCGGTGGGCTTGAAATGGATATCGGTTTCTAGGTGGTTGCCCGAGATGGAGACAGAGAGGTCCAGGAAGGAGAGAGAGGTATTAGAGATGGTCCAGGTGAACTTAAGGTTGGGGTGGAAGGTGTTGGTGAAGTGGATGAACTGTTCGAGCTCCTCGTGGGAGCACGAGGCGGCGCCGATACAGTCATCAATGTAATGGAGGAAGAGGTGGGGTTTAGGGCCAGTGTAGGTACGGAAGGAGGGATTATTCCACGCAACCTACAAAGAGGCAGGCATAGCTTGGGCCCATGCGGGTACCCATGGCCACCCCCTTTGTCTGTAGGAAGTGGGACGAGTTGAAAGAGAAGTTGTTGAGGGTGAGGACGAGTTCAGCTAAGCGGATGAGGGTGTCAGTGGATGGGGATTGGTCCGGCCTGCGGGACAGGAAGAAGCGGAGGGCCTTTAGGCCATCTGTACGGGGAATGCAGGTCTATAGGGACTGGACGTCCATGGTAAAGATGAGGTGTTGGGGACCGGGGAATTGGAAGTTCTGGAGGAGGTGGAAGGCGTGGGTGGTGTCACGGACGTAGGTAGGGAATTCCTGGACCAAGGGGGAGAAAATGGAGTCCAGATAGTTGGAGATAAGTTCGGCTGGGCAGGAACAGGTGGAGCCAATGGGTCGACCAGGGCATTCAGGTTTGTGGATTTTGGGAAGGAGATAGAAGCGGGCGGTGCAGGGTTGGGGAACGATGAGGTTGGAGGCCGTGGGTGGGAGGTCACCTGAGGTGATGAGGTTGTGGATGGTTTGGGAGATGATGGTTTGGTGCTCAGGGGTGGGGTCATGATCAAGTGGGCGGTAGGAGGTGTCGGAGAGTTGGCGTATGGCCTCGGCGATGTAGAGGTCAGTGCGCCATACTACAACTGCGCCTCCCTTGTCCGCAGGTTTTATGGTGAGGTTGGGATTGGAGCGGAGGGAGCGGAGGGCTGCACGTTCTGCGGGGGAGAGGTTGGAGTGGGTGAGAGGGGTGGAGAGGTTGAGGTGATTATATCTCTACGGCAGATGGAGATGAAGAGGTCGAGGGAGGGTAGGAGGCCTTGGGGTGGTGTCCAGGAGGAGGGGGTGTGTTGGAGGCGGGAGAAGGGGTCATTAGAGGGGGGGTTAGGTTCCCGGTTAAAGAAGTAAGCGTGGAGGCGGAGGCGGTGGAAAAACTGCTCTATGTCCAAACATGACTGGTATTTGTTGATGTGTGGGTGGAGGGGGACAAAAGGTGAGCCCTTTACTGAGGACTGACTGTTCGTCCTCAGTAAGGGGGAGGTCTGGGGGGAATGGTGAAGACTCGGCAGGGCTGAGTGTTGCTGTCTACTCTGGAGCTGCTGGCTGTGGGCAGAGTTGCATCAGCATCGGCTCTGGGCGGGGTTGCATCGGCATCAGCGGTGGGCAGAGTTGCGTCGGCGTCAGCGGTGGGCGGAGTTGCGTCGGCGGTGGACAGAGTGGGGTATTTTTTGCAGAACACCTATGCTCAGTTCGCAATAAACAACTGCACCTCCCAGTCGCGAACCATTTCAACTCCCCCTCCCATTCCTCAGACGACATGTCCATCCTGGGCCTCCTGCAGTGCCACAATGATGCCACCCGAAGGTTGCAGGAACAGCAACTCATATTCCGCTTGGGAACCCTGCAGCCTAATGGTATCAATGTGGATTTCACAAGCTTCAAAATCTCCCCTCCCCCTACCGCATCTCAAAACCAGCCCAGCTCGTCCCCACCTCCCTAACCTGTTCTTCCTCCCACCTATCCTCTCCTCCCACCTCAAGTCGCACCCCCATTTCCTACCTACTAACCTCATCCCGCCCCCTTGACCTGTCCATCCTCCCTGGACTGACCTATCTCCTCCTTACCTCCCCACCTACACTCACCTTTATTGGCTCCATCCCCGCCCTTTGACCTGTCTGTTTCCTCTCCACCTATCTTCTCCTCTATCCATCTTCTATCTGCCTCCCCCTCTCTCCCTATTTATTTCAGATCCCCCTTCCCCTCCCCCATTTCTGATGAAGGGTCTAGGCCCAAAACGTCAGCCTTCCTGCTCCTATGATGCTGCTTGGCCTGCTGTGTTCATCCAGCTTTACACCTTGTTATCTCAGATTCTCCAGCATCTGCAGTTCCTACTATCTCTGATACAATTTTAACCCCACTGCGAAGCCTCTTCTAAGGATGCCTAGCCTGAAGAAGTTACCCTCCTCCCTCCGGACAAACCTCAGGGGATCCATCTTCTATCCGCCTCCCCCTCTCTCCCTATTTATTTCAGAACACCCTTCCCCTCCCCCATTTCTGATGAAGGGTCTAGGCCTGAAACGTCAGTCTTCCTGCTCCTATGATGCTGCTTGGCCTGTTGTGTTCATCCAGCTCTGCACCTTGTTGTCTTATATTGCATGATCCTCTACTTTTGATTTTGACATTTTCTATTCTCATAGGTCTGATCATTTAGTGCTTTTAGCTCCTTTAAATGTTTCCATACTGCTGAAACATCAGTTCCATAATCTCTCAGCCTCTTGCACAGCTCATAGCTCATAGGCATCTGGAACATCAACAGTTCCTCTGAAACAGAAGAAAAGGTCTCGTGAATCAGTTATTTGTTCGACTGTATAATTTGTGCCAATAATGGCAAAATAGCTGATCTTGATACTTTGATACGCTTATTTTGCGAGTCACCTGCACAAGATCATTTAGATTAGAACTGCTGTCTTGGAATTGAGTCTGAAAGTTATGGGTTCAAATCCCGCTACAGCATATAGTTCAGGCTGCTAATTCAGTGCTGCACTGTAGGTTGTGCTATCATGTCAATTGCACCAAGGAGAGAGGTGTGTGTGTGCGTGTGATTTAGATGTATCGAACAGCTCCCATGACAACATGGTGATGAAGAATAGAGGACCTTCACCTGTGTCCTGTCCAAAGTTATACCTTGACCAACATTAGTAAGGACAGG